TCGCCTGGAACAACTATGATATCAATGAACACAAAGAAGTTGATATCTAGAACATGTCGCTCCAATAAGTTTTTTACTAATGATGATGCTAAGCAAGCCTCGCCTTGCGAGAAATTGTACAAATCAAAAAGAAACTAGAACTCTTAAAGGCCTGCTTGTTTTTCTCTGTCTCTGCACCCTCCACCATCAAAACCCTCAGCTGATTTACTCACACACTCGCAGACTCTCCACTCTTGGCACCTATAGTTCCTGCAGATTCTATAGATCCTCCAGATGCTGCAGATTCGCGGGGGACTTCTGACTCGCCTCCCAAAGCAGTCGAAACTTCAACAACATGTTCTTTGCCAAAAATATGTGTATCAAAATTTCTGACTCTCCGATTCCTAAGGCTGAAACCAGGCATGCAGCTACTAGTTGGACCTCAAAGCAGCCTTGGAAAACATTATTTGGACAAAAACACTGTGTGCATGTAGCTAAATGAGTTGGTAGACCTTGCCCTACTTAGCGCAAATGAACCAAGGTTTGCAACTCAACAGCAAGTAGCAGCTGAATTGACTGGGATCTTGGAGGAGTGAAGAGAAGCTGGGGAGCAAACATGGAAGCAGGAACTAGGGTCCAGGAGCTGGGGGGCAAGAAGAAGGAAAACCCATCAAAACTGCAAACATGTTGTTCCCAGCGCAAAAGCGTGTTGCTAAGTACACACAAACACCGGCCGCACTGCTGTAGCTCCCTGGTTCTTTGCTTAATGGCCAATATGGATGCCCCGGGCTCCTCCCTCGATGGGCACGGAGACAGAAAGCACTGCACAAGTGCAACGGCACAGAAATGTCCTGCTAGGTCTGCGCAACTGCCTGTGGCCTTGCTGCGAATCAAGAATGTGTCCCAACTGGGATACAAGGCAAACCACAAGTCTTGTGGAAAAAACTCTTTCGGGCACTCATCCCGCCAGGCACGTGCAAATGGTTGGGGCCTTGCTGCACTTGCAGCATGTTTTGCGCTACACAGAAACGTTGCTTCGTGGCCGGCAATGCGCGCAAAAACTCATGTTGCAGTTGCAAACACAGCCTGCTAGGTATGTGGCACGGTATGTGGCCCTGCCGCGTGTAAAGCAGTGAGTCGTAAGAACACTCCGCAACGGAGACACGCGCACGCGCAACAAAGGCGCGTTACTGAGCACGCACCGGTCCATGCTTTGTACTGCGTGCAAAGGACGCTCTGCGCTACCACGATATGCGGAACTACTTTACTGTCAGGCACTGCTCTGCGCTCGTTGCGTTCCACTGCGATTGAACTGACACCGAGGTCATCAAGCCAACGATTTGCGCAGTCAGCCTGCGCAGATTCAGTGGTCGCCACTCACCCTGTCCACGCTGAGAAGTTGTTGCTTCAAGCTCGGCTGGAGCGATTGAAGCCGACAGGGCCCAAGGCCATTGACAACGCCTGACCTGACAGTAATCAAAGCTCCAAGGTGGAAGCCAGCATCCATGCTTACAACGTGGAAGCCCAATCACAGCACCTTACAGAATCTGGTCAGGCGGAAGCCCGATCAACCTGACCAAGTAGCGCCTAGGTTCCCTGGTGGATATCCCAGCGCCCACAGTTCCAAGGTGGCCGATCACGAAGATTGCAAGGTTTCAGTGCAGCCCAGGGTTCGGCTTTCTGCTGCCGGAACCCCCTGTCTCCCGCTGGGCCAAGACAATAAACACAGCCACCAAAGAAACGCCTCCGCCCTTATTGTCTCCACCTGACAGCACCCAGAGTTCCAAGGTTCAAGGGTTCCAAGGCAGCACTCTGAACACAAAGGCTTCGGGGGACTTTGGGCGCCGACAAACTGCATCGCTCCCGGGAATTAAGATGTCGTGGATGGGAATGGTTGCAAACAACAAGGACGTTCCAAGAAAGCAGGTGTGAGAGCCTCTGCAAATGCGCCTCAGCTTGATGTGCCTTCATGAGGTCACTTCAAATCCCCCCGTCAACTCAAAAAAATACCTTCGACATATTGCACAGTGCATTCCAGGCTTTAGACAAAAAAAAAAAAACACTACCTTTCTCACAACTGTTGGGCATCCCTGCCCAGTCATCAACATGGAGGTGGCTCAAAAGCAGCATGGGCATCACATTCAACACCCGCCGCATGCTTTTTCTTGAGCCCAAAGGTCCAGTCCACGACGCTAGTGGGGAGGCCATCGCTGTTACGTTCTTATTTGGTGCTTTAAAGAAAAAGAAAAGCAAAAAAACGCCGCAAACCGCAGCGAATCTTGCTCAGCAGCTCGCCAGCGACATGTACGTCTCAACTTTTTCTTGCGAAGCGACGCGTCTCACGCGTCTTCTCCAGATACACTTCTTTTTGCTGACTACACACGCCTTGGAAGATCTCATCATGTGGAAGGATTTGTTTTTTGTCATCTTTTTTCATGTCTTTTTTCATGTGTCTCATGATGACTCATGGTGACTACTGGGAACAGCCTTTCCTTTCAACGCTTTCCACAAGGCGCCACTTGCCCTTCAGGACCATCTAGGCGCTAAATTGTGGCGGCAGCGTGCCTGAGTCGAGCATTTAGGCGTCGTGAACTTTGCAAGATCCAACAGAAAAAGAGAAGAATATCAGAAGGTGTGCGTTCCCCATCGAATAAGGCCCTCTTTAAAGGGGCCTGCGGCCTTACTGAAGAGGCCCAAGCACTTGTTCTTTGTGTCTGATGTTTTCCCCTTGTATATGCACTTCTTCGCTGAGCTGTTCATGCGTTGTTCCCTAGCGCTGGACTGATGGACATCGCTGGCAGTTGGTAGGCATCCATCTTCACACCCTCACAGTCACTGTCATCACCAGTGTGAAAAATAAGACAAGTGATTCTAAAAAAAAAGACAGGAACAAGAAGCTACTAGGAGCAAGAAGCTACTAGGGGCTCCTGGCCTTACTACTAGGAGCAAGGACGCTACTAGGGGCTCCTGGCCTCGCTACTAGGAGCAAGGACGCAGTACAAACAGTGATTTGGCTCGGCAAACTGTTCGGATCTGTGAAAAACGGCCTGGCAGCTCAGCTCCACCTTCTCCATGAGGGTAAGGTTTCGAGCATAGGCAAACTTCAAGCTGGCACCATCCTGTGAATTCGTGCACTAAAAAGTAAAGAAATCGACACTTGCTTAAGTTTAAGTGCAAAGAAACGGATGAAAGGGCAAAAGGAACAAAATGATATCTTAATCATCGTTCGACTGTTTTGACTGTGGGGAGAAATATGAAAAGTTCGTACTCCCGGCCAGCCTCAATGCCACACTGAGCTAATCGCTTCCTGAGAAATATGAGATCCCGAAGCTTCTTGTCCCTAGTACGGTCAGGAGCCCCTAGTAGCGTCCTTACTCTTCGTAGCGATGAGAAACTTGTCGTTCCTCTAAGCACGTTGTCACGTTGTCACAGAACTTGCTCTCCAAGTAACTTGTTCTCCAAGTAGTCCGCGGACCCTTTGGCAGAGAGGAGAGCTGTGTTCGCCCAGTCCTGACTCAAATCTCTTCTTACGGAACAGTTCATATAAGGGCGTGGGCCAAAAGAATCTTCACAGGGCAAATGTGAAGAAAGAAGATATCAAAACAAAGAAATGTACTAGGAGCAAGAAGCTACTAGGGGCTCCTGGCATCGCTACTAGGAGCAAGGACGCCACTAGGGGCTTGAAATTCGGGATAGAACAATGCATGATCCCGCTCCGGAGGGCTATGCAGTGCAATGATCTTTTGCTTCACAGCCTGTGGAGCAGCTGTAGCAAGTCTAGCAATGAGCATTGATGGATTTTGCGACACCGAAAACAAACGGAAGTGAGCCAAACGACATGTCAGCCATGCAGCAAAATAGAACAAAATGAACTTCATAGAACGAAAAGAGCGAAACGAAACAGAACGGAAGGGCGTAACAGAAGCGTGGACTCCTGGCCTTACTACTAGGAGCAAGGGCATCGCTACTAGGAGCAAGGACGTGCCAAGTGATTGGCCCTTGCTAATCACCCTTTGGGCCAATCGTGACTGCCTCACCTTCACCGTGTCTGATGGCTGCACATCCAGCAAAGCGCTCTTGCCTAGTGTGACCAAAATGCAGAAGACTACCCAAGAACAAAGAGTTCCTACTTTTTTTTGAGAGACTTGACCTTTCTTTGCTTTTCTCTTGCGGTTTTAGATGTTTTCTTTGGACCTTCAATTTAGACCTTTTTTGGTTTCTTGCGTTCAGTCGCAAATTGGGTCTCTCGGTTCCTTCTTCAACGGAGATTTGTCAAGCTCCGCGCTGGCATCAGCGCTGTAGAAGACCTTGATTTGCATTGCCTGGCAGTGCTATGAGCTACCACACGCTACCACGTTCTCTGTTCTGTCTGGCAAATGTTCTGCTTGCTTTTTTGTCGGTGCCTTTGTTGCTAATAAAATTCAAGTGGCCAAAGGTAAAAGAAGCTCATAAGGAGGAGAAACACAAAGAGAACAGTCAGCTCTTGCAAGAGCAATTAGGAAGTCGTGTTGCTCCCAGCCTCAACACGCAAAAAGAAATGCCAGTTCGTAGATGAACCCCACCGGGGTCTGAGCCGATAAGACCAGCGCAGGGGCGCAGGGGTCTGTTTGCAGCGGCGCTTGTGGTCCACCAAGAAGCTCTCCGATCTCCAAGCAACACAGCAGCTCTCCATTTTGCGGTTCATGTACACGTGTATGTAGTTTCTGTTGGCACAAGCCGTCTCTAAACATCCAAACAAGTGGATAAGTCAACAGTCAATTTAGAATTCAAACTTTTGACAGCTTCGGCCGGTCTGCAAAGACCTCCCCGATTTCTGTACTCCGGGCTCAAAATCTCGAAAATGAAATGGTGAGAATGGCAGAGCATCTGTTCCCAGCTTAACTGGCAACGGCTCAAACATCTCTTCCAGTGCTCACCCTCTGCCGTTTTCACCCAAGCGCGCGGCCTGCTACACAACATGCGACCCCTATGAGGGTGCTCGAATTTCAAATTCGATTTCTCAGGCAGCGTTAGCTGCTTCTTCAGCCTTCGATCAGGAGTGCACGATCAAAAGCAAAGTGGAGGTGGAATTCAGAAGGTGACGGTGCGACTAAGTCCTCATAGACCACAGCACGAGGCCTCTTTAAAGGCCACATCAAAGACTTCATCAAAGTGTGTGGCAAAGTGGACCTCAAAGACTTCATTGCCATGGATTGCTTGTCCTTTATTTAGGCCGGGGGGGTGGGTAGGCCGGTAAAGGTAGCGAACGTAGAAGAGGTAGCCAGTACCTACAAGTAGCTACTACCGACTGGACACAGGATAGCGAAGACGCTTCTTCAAGGAAAGGCGGCGGGGGGGGAGCTTCCTTGAAGAAGCGCTCGCACTATTCATTTGGTTCCTCCTGGCCGTACTACTAGGAGCAAGGACGTTAAAGAATGGGACGCGCTCAAGAGCAAGAAAACGGATCTTTCGACCGGAGCACGTTGAGTCCATCCTGGAGGTACTTTGGCAGTTCATCAAAGTCGCGGCCTCAGAAAACGAAAGAGCATGAGCAGCGTGAGCTCATGATTGCTTCAAGAACATGAGCTCATGACTTTAAAGATACCTCTAGGCCACAACAGCTTTCTATTTTGCTCTCCGTCTGAAATCCTCCGGAAAGGTCCTTTACCTCTGTGTGAAGCAGTGGATGTTGCCTTCCAAGGTGTGTCAAACAGTGAGGATGCACGAAGGCCTATGGCTGTCCACCTTTAAGCTATATAAAAATATATAAGCATACCCTTATAGAACAAAGACTTTAAGGAACCTAATGGCGATGGCCTCCAACCTTTAAGCTAAGCCACGGTTTGCCTCTGGGAAGATCAGTGTCTTGCAACCCGCCCGCCGAGCAGCTATTGTCTTCTCCTGGAGCGAATGGAGAGCAACACTGCAATTTACCTAAGAGTTCGCGTGGATGGTTTTGTCCAAGACTAGGATGGGTATAGTAGCATTCTTGGGATGCATCTCAGAAAAATATCTTTGGAGTGTCCTTCCTTCTAAGTCTACGATTGAAATCACTGAGAGGCCAAGTCTACGCTTGGCTGTGCCGCTCTCCGCCAAGCACAAATGTCTCCTTGATACCACCCACGGCCAGCACCTTACCATTCAGTGAAACCTGCGAGCCATCGAATTGCAAAGCACGACAGCGAAAAAGAAAATCTTTGCACTTTCCCAGAAAGGAGTCTGGTGGACTTTACTATACACTTTAACAGAAATGCTTTCTTATATAGAGAAAAAAAAGGAAACAAAATAGCAATGGCCTCCAACCTACTAGCAATGGCCTCCAACCTAAGAGCGATGGTCTCCAACCTAAGAGCACTCTGGTGGACTTGACAAGAATGCTTTCTTAAAAATCATAAAGCTCAGAGCAAAAATGCTTCTACTTTACCTCCTTTTCTTGGTCTCCTGAAAGCAAATGAATCATTAGAAACAAGAAGCTAGTAGTAACAAGTGCATCGCTACTGGTAACAAGTGCCTTACTAGTAGTAACAAGAAGCTACTAGAAACAAGACAGCGGCAAACGAACACTCTTCGGCCTCTCCAGTCATTGCCAAGTCTGTCGGGATGGGCTTCTTCATCGCAAGCGACAGCAGTGCGGTTGTCATGGTGACACCTGCCTTGGCAAAAGTCTTTTTGCCTAGGCTTCACTTAAGGTTTCTTGCAAGGTGTTCTTAAGGAGGAAGGAAGTCTGGTTTGTAGCAGGGGAGTGTATTCCCTGAAAGCGTGGAAGGACGTGGAACGACTGCGCTTGATAAGAAAGGCCTTGGACTCGTTTGGAACGCCCCGACTGTCGCTCGGAAATGGACATGACTATCCAACAAGGACCCTATCCCTCTTTGTCATGTCCTTCGTTATATCCTTTTTGGCCCGTCCTTCCTCTCCTTTTGTTCTTCCTGTTTTGAAAAAAGAACCCTTCCGTCCTTGATTAAGAGCACTCCTTTGGCGTGCGTTGCAAATTGTTTAGCCACGCTGCTGATGGCCCGTCCTTCGGTGTTGCACCCTCTGGACAGTGAAGGAAGAGCTCATGCTCCTGCAGTGCCCAACATAGCGAGCTCGCGACATGAAAAACGGGTTGCCTGAGGTGGAAAATGACTTCTCTTCGGCTGCAAGGCTTGGAAACTGCTTTGATACTAGAAAGCTTTATTGTTACGAGTAGCGATGGCCTCCACCCTAGTAGCGATGGCCTCCAACTTAACAGCGATGGCCTCCACCTAGTAGCTTCTAGTTACTAGAAGCAAATACTTCTCTTGGTTTTCGAAGCCGCCCTGCCATACAAAACGGCACGTGTTTAAACGAAGAAGTAAGACGACGAGTCCTCAAAGAAGCCATCCTTCCCTCGTGCTTGCAGTTGACGACGAGCTACCAACAAGGCAATCTGTGAGGATTCCTGGCAAACTAATTGAGCAGTCAACTGACCAAGAGACATAATAAGAGAATGTATGTTGTACAACCTAAGGCCAACACCTAAGGCCTTTAGAAGCCTACAGAGACAGCGCTCTGCTAAATTCACGACTGATTGCCAATCTTGTAGGCAGCTTCTTTGTCACATTGCTCTGCTGTGCTCAATTTGGCTTTGATGGATCCTTGCTTTGTCTCTGCTCCCAACACTCTATTTTTTGCAACGCACATTCCCCGCCTTCATCACGTTGCCCAGCTGACCAGTAACTGCTAACATAGGGGGTGCAGTTGCTGGCTTGTCTGGATCACTGCGACGTCGAGCGAGTGCAGTAGCTTCCTCACAACACAGTTGCCGGTCCATGGATACAGGACAAATGGGCACTGAAAAAAGAAAAACTGCTTCATTGGCTTTCTGCAAACATGTGAAGCTTCTCACCAAGCAACAATATATAGCACAGAGCCGCCCATGGCAGTCCATGCGAGGCCCGTGACTGTGCCAGAGGGCAACTGGCCTTCGTAGAGGCGGTCAGAGGTGAAAACCTCAGAAGAAACGAACATGGAAGAGAAAGAGAGAGAAAGAGAAAGAGAGAGCACGCTACGAACGAGGCTCCTGGCCTTACTACTGGGAACAAGGACGCTACTAGGAACAAAGGGCATCGCTACTAGGAACAAGAACGCTACAGTACTAGGTGCTGAGAGACAGACACAGAGACAGAGAGGGAGACAGAGAGACAGAAAAGAAACAAGAGGAAGGCACAAATACGACAAAGAGAAATAGAATCCACGCGAATTCAGGCGAGCCACCGGTTTGCCCACATATTCACTCAAAGATGCTTCATCCACCCGCAGCTCAATGACTTCAGACTTTGAAGGATCTATCGCATCCCCCGTCGCATCTGTATCTTTGGAGGAAGTGCCTTGACCTTAGGTGGCACGTGGTGGCACAAAACTCTTGGCCAAGCATGTTGCTTCACGTTTGGTCTAGAGGTTGGATGTTGACACCTGACATGTTCAGAGTTTAGATGGACATTGTCAACTGGCACGAGTATCATAGAGAGCGAAAACCTTTAGGCGCGCCAAACGCCATGTTCAAGTACGGTCAAACTGCTTGACATCTTGTTCCAGTACAACCACTCAAAATCAAACTACTTGTAAGCTTCCCTAAAATCTAGGAACCAAATGAATAGTGCGAGCGCTTCTTCAAGGAAGCTGCAGCCCCCTGAAGAAGCTTGAGCTATCCTGCGTCCTAAGTAGTAGCTACTTGTAGGTAGTAGCTACTTAGCTTCCACTAGCTACCTCTACCTAGCTACCTCTACGGCCTCCCCCGTTCAAAAAGTAAAATAAAAACTCTTCTCTCCCAGGTCACTCTTATCTTCCCACTTCTCCACCACTTTTGTGGCCAACTTTCGGCAAATCCGCTCGATATGTTTTTGGAGGTTTCGCACACCGGCCTGCGAACACAGGAGAACATCTCTGCTCGGTGGCTTCGGTTCCGGTCTCTGCTCGGTGGTCGGTGCCTCTCTGCAATACCAGCGGATGAGTGACTCGATGGCACCGGTCTCAATCTCTGCCTGTATCGTTCGTCAACATCGTTGTTTTGTCATACTCGGACAAGGTTTGACCCCAAACAAACCACTAGGAACAAAGGGCATCGCTACTAGGAACAAAGGGCATCGCTACTAGGAACAAGGACGCTACTAGGGGCTCCTGGCCTTACTACTAGGAACAAGAAGCTACTAGGAACAAAAAGACTCGGAGAGACCATTTCCGAGGAATCGAGCTTGACAAATGATTGAGGCACCTTCACCTCTGGCTTCAGTTGCTTTGGCTCTGCCTTCACTTCGGGTTCTGGTTCTGGTTCCTGGCATCTTGAACTTCGAGTAGTTGTGCTTGCAAAAAGTGTTCTAAAGTGTTCTGACCACCTCTCCCCTTTTGCAACAACATTGACAAGGCGGAAAGAAACGTGCGACTTCGGCCTGCGGTTTGGCATCCTCAGACTTTTCGACTTCTTCAGCCACCTTCATGCGAACCCTTTGTCGATGTCCTCTTTACCATCTAGTAGAAATGCCCTTGTTACTAGTAGCTTCTTGCTCCTAGTAGTAAGGCCAGGAGCTACCAGCTACTAGTAGGCTTCCTTGCTCCTAGTAGCGATGCCCTTTGCTACTAGTAGCTTCTTGCTACTAGTACCCCTACGAAATCAAGAATGCATGTTCTTTAAATCTATTGCTTGAGATAATTTTCATCTTTCTCGTTTGGTTTGTTCTTGCTTTTCTTTAGACCTTTAGGACTTGTTTTTCCCCTTGTGCATATTTTATCTTTCTTCTTGCTACCCTCTTGAATGCTTCTTCTTGCTCCTCCTAGGTCCCGTTCGGTCGTGGCTGAATGTGTGATGTGCCTTCACAGTGCGTCATTTCCGATGTCACATACCTTGCCTTCTGTACCTGTACCTCGCTTTGAGCCTCGGCTTTCTTCTGCTTCAATCCCACCTGTCACTGTGCAAGCATTTTCAGGAATGCATCCCAACTCCATGTTTTCGTAGATGTCCGTTTCGATCTTTCTCGGCCTCTACCATAGCATTTGGCACCAAGTATTGTTCCGCAATCTTCATCTTTTCTTGTAGATCATATCCTGAAAAGCCAGGAACCAAGATTTGTGCACCAGAAGTTCCTTTTCGCTCCAGTCTTTCCAGAGCAGTCTTGGTCTTCCGGTGCCTGTGAGGCGGATCACCTCCATTCGATCTAACAAAGGTCCTGATGAAAACGACGCAAGCACGGCGCGACTTGCGGCGAGTCGCGGAGCTGTCACGGGACTAGAGCCTTGTTCCACCTAGAAGCAATGGCCTCCAACCTACTAGCGATGGCCTCCAAGGTGTACAGAAGCTCCAGTTGTGACATACAGAAACTGTGTTGACCAATTGAAAGGCCCTCTTTGATTGTACGCACCCGTCCTGGGATGGTATCGAGAACGTTGGCGGTGCACACGAAAAGAATGTTGCTGCCTGATGGCTCCGCAACAAATTTTTGGTCGTCTGGCCAAGGCAGTTCATTCAAGGATGCCTTCCCTTCAAAAGTGCAAGGCAACAACCCCCATGAATCTGAGTCTTGAATTAAATCTCCATGGTGCAGTCGACGGCAACATCCAGGTAGTGATCCATGAAGGCGGAATTCTGTGATGGATCCTAGGTCCGATTCCCTTCAGACTCTCAGACGATCATAGAACAGCCAATCCGTCGAAAAGAAGCCCATCAAAAAGTCAAGTGCCTCAAAGAATTCCTGAAACGTTAGACATTATGACCAAATTCGATATTTTAGGCTCCTTTCGCTATTTGGTTGGAGGCCATCGCTATTAGGAGCAAGGACGCTACTAGGGGCTCCTGGCCGTACTACTAGGAGCAAGTAGCTAATAGTAACAAGAAGCTACTGGGGGCTCCTGGCATCGCTACTAGGAGCGATCGGACGCTACGAACGGGGCTCGTTGGGTGCTGAAAAAGAAAAGATGGAACTAACGGCGCCCAAGAGTCCAAGAGCTCCAACAGGGCTGAGGAGGGATCACCATGGTGGCCCCGGCCAATCTTGTCCACCTGGACGGGACTTGCGTTTGGCACACATGTTTTCTAGTAGTGTCCGATCGCTCCTGCTAGCGATGCCAGGAGCCCCTAGTAGCGTCCTTGCTCCTAGTAGTAAGGCCAGGAGCCCCTAGTAGCGTCCTTGCTCCTAGTAGTAAGGCCTGGAGCCCCTAGTAGCGTCCTAAATCCAGTCGTTGATGCGTTCACATTGTCTCACATTTGTTCACATTGTTGCCATTAGAAGACTGTCGATGTTAACAATGTCTTCTCGGATCTTATCAAAACTGCTGATCGATTTCTTTCCGCTAATGAGTTGTGCAACTTGTGCGCCTCATCGATGAGGACCAACGGATTGGAGGTCTGCACCTTCTTCAAGCATTGAATGATCTTCCCAGGCATCGCCCCAACCTGAAGGCCATCGCTAGGAACAAGGGCATCGCTACTAGGAGCAAGGATGCTACTAGTAGCTCCTGGCATTACTACTAGGAACAAGAAGCTGCTAGTAGCAAGGACGCTATTAGGTTGGCTTAGCACTCTTTGGCACTCTTTGGCACTTAGCACCCCACGTAGGTTCTGCGATGTCCCTTGATCTCTGCCACGTCATACAAACCGCCCACGGAGAATCGGTAGAACTCTCTACCCAAGGCCTTCCGACTGCGATCAAACTGTCAACTGCTTAACACGGATTGACGACATCTATCATGAAAAAGCCCCTAGTAGCTTCTTGTTCCTAGTAGTAAGGCCAGGAGCCCCCTGATAGCGTCCTTGCTCCTAGTAGCGATGCCCTTTGCTCCTAGTAGCGTCCTCTATTCATAACATGAAATGCAATGAAAAGTTTGGGGATGCTGGGCTGCTTGAACCGTCCATCAAGACATTGAAGTTCTGTTCCTGTGGAAGTAAAGGACGCAGAACATGTATGATTTCAAACGCAACCGGCCTCAGCAATAGACTTTCCGATGGAGGTCTTTCCTACACCCGGCGGCCCCACGAAGCACAAGATCTTGCCTCATGGTAGTCACAGCCAGTCACAGCACACAAAAGCACTCAGGGAGCACTCACTAACTTCACGATCGCGCGGTTTGCTTGGCGGAAGCTGCACTTGAAACAAACTGCTCCTTAGTCCTTTGAAGAAAGACGTGTTGTTGGTGCGATTCGTGGCCTTGCATGGAGCCACGTAGAACACCCACAGCGATGAACTCCCGGATGCGGTCCTGATGAACAACACCCTGTTCCCTTCATCTCTCGTCATCTTTCATCATCTTTCTACTTCGGGAATACCAAAAAAAGCCTCCCATTTATATACCTGAACACACTGTTGACTTGTATAGTTTATCTCTCTTTTTGCCAACACTTTTTTCCTCACTTGGGCCGAGGCTTGGTGATTCCGTCAACTGATGTGGGACAAAAGCAACAAAACCCAAGACCTCTGTCCTTGATGTCAGCGAGACCATAATGGTCTCGGTCCAAGATCTCGCGGGCCTTCTTCAAGTCAAAAGTATCCTCACGTCACCGCGTCCAAATTGTTCAGGCCGACTCCGAAGAAAAAGGCAACCCAAAGAAAAAACATGCTCTATTTTCTTTTTGGGGGGCGCTCTCCCCCTCCCTACTTAGTTAGGTAGAGACTATCTCTGAATTAAGTAAGGGAGAGGTAGCTAGTGCATGCTAGTACCTTACTTAAGCTACTAGCATGGACGCAGGATAGCTCACGCTTCTAATTCATTTGGTTCCTAGAGTTTTTGGGAAACTGAGTGTTCCTAGATGTCAGTCAAAAGCCTCCAAAGTCCTTGCTGTACACGCTCCAAGGCATGCTGCTGAGCCAATCCAAATAGTTCCGAGTCATCTGGTACTCTTGGGACTCCTAGGAGCAAGGACGCTACTAGAAGCAAAGGGCATTTCTACCAGTAACAAGAAGCTACTAGGAACAAGTGCATCGCTACTAGGAACAAGTGCCTTACTAGTAGTAACAAGAAGCTAGTTGATTTGTTAACTCAAACAAAAGTGGCGTTCCAGGACCACGCATTTCGGAAAGCAACGCGACAACTCGTGTTCGCCCTCCTTCGCCAGGTTCGCAAACTTCTCGAACTCCGTGTCAATGGCCTGCGGGTTTGCAGAGCGTGGACGCCACAAAATGGATTTGACCCAGAAGCGTGCTTGGGCAAGAAGCTACTATTTAGTAGCTCCTGGCATTACTACTAGGAACAAAAGGCTACTAGGAACAAAGGGCATCGCTACCAGGAGCAAGGAAGCTACTAGGGGCTCCTAGCCTTACTACTAGTAGCAATGTTCGCTACTAGTAACAAGAAGCTACGAACGTAGCGATGAAATCCGCCTCCTTCGCTTCTTTGGGCACTTCCTTTCCCTCTAAGCGCTCCTTAAACTTCTGCAAGATCGTCTCCTTAGTGTCTCTCCGTCCCTGAGTTCACCCCTTTGGGTCTTTCCGAAAAAAGGCTCAAAAATATCTCCGCTGGCCTTGTGATCCGGTGTTGGCCTATACTAGTAACAAGAAGCTATTAGGTGGGGGCCATCGCTATTAGGTTGGAGGACATTACTAGCAACAAGAGGCTACTAGTAGCAAAGGGACTCTCACAAAATGTGGATCTCTTTTGGCTGCCAACTCAATCTGAAATTCTGCACTTCAGAGTCTCTGATTCGCTACTAGGAGCAAGGACGCTACTAGGGGCTCCTGGCATCGCTACTAGGAGCAAGGACGCTACTGGTAGATTAGTAGCTCCTGATTCTTTTACATGATTTGCGTTTCTGCCAAGTCTCCGAACCATCGTCTTTGTCGATGCCCAACTCCTTCCTGTTTTTTGACGATTTGACTGGGGATTTTGGGAGCACCTTTTGGTTTTGGTATTTTTTTCTCGTGTTCGAACCTCTACACTTCTAGTGTGCATTTGGTCGTTAGTCAAGTCCACCACAGCACTTCCACAGCAACCCCTGCGGGCGGCGCTTGATGCTCTTCAGTTGTTCTCTCAGCATGAACTCTCGCTGGTTCTTGGACATCTTCTCCTCGATGCGGCTTGCCACAGTAAGAGTCAACCGTTGCCCGATCCGCCCGCTCGGTCGAGAGGATGGTTTCACGAATTGGCTGATTCACGGCCTGGCCTCAATTTGGTTGGAAATCTTCTGCTGCAGCTTGGCAACTTCCAGCTCTTTCTTCAAGAGTTCCAGGGCAAGCCTCTAGAAAATTGCAGATTTTGTCTAAGAATGTTCCGAAGAATACATCTGATCTGTCCTGTCAGTCCTAGAAATGTCACCAACAAGAAAACATGCCAGCAAATTGGTGAATCTATATTATGAATTGTGTTGTCCTCTTCAGTACAAAGTTGTGGCCTTAATTTGTCCAAGGGGTTCGTGGCATCTAGCACCTGAGGAGCGATTGCCGATGTGAACCGGTCGGCTGATGTGAACCGGTTGGAACTTTCATGCCCCACTTTCATGCCCTTTGAGCTTAAAGGTTCGACTGAAAGTCTGTCTTACATGCTTTACATGTGTTAACAGAATGTGCAGATTCTGTGCTCATCAAGACATCTCCCAAGTGCCTGCTGAAGCTCCGCTCCCTCCGCAGTGGTGAGGGAAGCCGCCAAGTGTGCCACAGCATCGGGCTGCACCCGAGCGTTTCGCTGCTGAAGCGACTGGTTCACATACTGGGCATGCTCCCCTCGATCAGACAGCACGGCACGGGCCGCACGGGAGAAAGCGAGGCTTCGCAAGGCTTCGCAAGGACGGAAGAATCCTGAGAGGCCAGCTGAAGCTTGAGCTCACTTTCATGATCTCCTGAGGGGTTCGGAAGACAAACGAACACAAGCGATGAAAGAAGGCTTCCATACTTCCATGATGTAATAACCTGCATATTGCAAGCTCTGCAAACAGTGCACTCCTGCACAGTCAGGATAGTTTCGTTCATGGTGGCTCTCACCATCTCATCCTGTCACACACGATTTGGCCCCAAACATCTCTATGATTCCATCATCGCTTTCATTGGCACTCAAGAATCGCGCGTTCGCTGGAGCAGACGCATTGCAAGAGCTGGAGTCCGACTTGTCCTTACCATCCCATTCTTCCGGAGTGATCTGGGCGATCTGCACCTGGCAAAGAATAAGCAGATCGGTTCTTTTTTTTTTTCGAGAGGTTCTCGCACCTGAAGCGGTGGCCCTTTGTTCAAGACCTTCTCCAGTCGTACAACTCCTGCACCTCAACTCGTAGAGTTGGCCAAGCTGTGCATAAAACGCCCCAAACTCGCAATCGAGGATATCACCTTGCACAAGCATCTGCACTGCCACCACCTCTCCGTCCTTTGGAGACCAAACAGGCACTGCCTCGGTCCAAACAGAATGTCTGTGGATCGGTGGACCTTTCATTCTTCCACTAGTAGTAACAGGTGCCACGCTAGTAGTAACAGGTGCCTTACTAGTAGTAACAAGAAGCTACTAGAAACAAGAAGCTACTAGGAACAAGTGCCATGCTAGTAGTAACAAGTGCCACGCTAGTAGTAACAGGTGCCTTACTAGTAGTAACAAGAAGCTACTAGAAACAAGAAGCTACCAGGAACAAGTGCCATGCTAGTAGTAACAAGTGCCACGCTAGTAGTAACAGGTGCCTTACTAGTAGTAACAAGAAGCTACTAGAAACAAGAAGCTACTAGGAACAAGTGCCATGCTAGTAGTAACAAGTGCCACGCTAGTAGTAACAGGTGCCTTACTAGTAGTAACATCCTCCTGAACTGCATTCTTCCTTGCTCTACAGCCCTGGAATACGGCGTCAACGAATGTTCACTCCCTCTCTGCCCACCCTGCTTGCGCCTGCGCGACGCGACCAATGGTGCCCACGTTGTGCAGGACTTCCATGGGGTCTTCCCCGCTCATGTCCTGTCAAAGCCCAAAGAAGCCGACGTGGCTGGATAGGAAAGCAAAAGAGTTCCAAGCACGAGCTTCTCACAAGCACGAGCTTCTCACGAGCTTCTCACGAGTTATCGAGTTGAGTTTCCCCTTTTGTGTCCTCCAGTTTGGCTGAGGGCAACAAATCCTCTTCTTCGCCTTCCTGGCGGAGCATCTGAAGATCATATCTGAAGTTTGAGAAACTGACTTTACAAATTCGTCTGCCTTCGGCAGCTCATTAGGCATGCTCTTGCGGAGGAAAAAGCCAATATGAGTCCTAAGCTGCAAAGAAATGAATGATCCTGTCCCCAAGGAGAATCATCCTGTCCCCAAGTCGCTGGCATTTTCTTAGAATTCTCTGTAAGGCTCAGGATCTCCTGGTGTCAAACACATTGTTCTCAGAGACATGCCCGAATCACAAGAGCGAGCTCTGTCTGGTCTTTTCCAATTCATCTCCTTCGCAATCTTCGGCGAAGTGATCTGGCAGGGCGTATCGAAATGGCTTTGCCAACGGATCGATCCAATCGATCCCCATGTTCGGCACAACACAAACACCGACAGCAACCGACAGCAGCACCTGGATGAGCTGGTTGTGCCAAGGAAAGAGGGGCCTAACAGTGGCCAGTTTTTATTTCGCTCCTTTGTTTTGCGTAGAGTGGCAAATGCTGCACGTTAAAAGGCAGCTCCGCGCCTTCCAAACAGAGGCAGTGCCATGCAGACAGGCTCAAATCCTGGACACCGGCAGAGCATACGACGACGCAATGCGAATCTGCCACAATGGACCGAACGCTTGAAGCAGCTCGCTCCTGATGAGTCTTTCCTGTCAAAGCGCGGAAAGCGAAGAAAAACATGCTCTCAAAACCGAAACCGCAGGGAATTGTTTCGAACTGAAGATTTGTTCAAGCTTCAAAACGCAAGATCTGTTCGGAAGCGACCAAAAACCTTATGTCTACTAAACTGATATTCCTTCCCTAAGCTTTCTAACCCCCCTCTACTCCACCCTGCACAAAGAGAAGAACATATAACACAGGTCTTCATCTGTTCTGAAGCACGAAGCTGCACATTGCGAAAACGCTCACAAACGAGCCCATTCCGCCTCAGGTGCCCGTCCTGCTTGACAGGTACGATTGCGCCCTCCTGGACAGTTGGATCAACGAATCTGGGGATGCCCCACAGGTTCAAAGTTCAAAGCACAAATGAAACCAACGGAACGGAAGACCTCTGAAGGCCCTGCCGCACTGGGGTTTGGATCTTGACAGATTTCCCGATTCTAGGTCGCTAGAAAGCAGCCGAGCGCTTTGGAAAGGCCATGGAGTTCCTTTATAGCCTTCGAAAGTTTGAACATTCATACCCCTTGACTTGCATGTTGGTAAATTGGAATTTCCACACTTCAAAGACGCATGGTTTTAGGCTTCAGGACATTTCTGATCGAAACCTAACAGCTATTCAGCGATTCTGTTTGGAACATGAAATGCGAATCAACCGCCACAAGAAAGAAATTGAAAGAGATTGTTTTTTCCTTTTCTTCTAGCGGGCAGAAACATTCTGAATTAGCGAAGTAAACTGAATTCCTGCACCCCAAATGAATTGTCTTTAGGGGAGAACAGGCGCTCGGCTCGGCTCCCACCAAGCCCGCCCTCGGCTCACCAAACCCTCCAGGATGAGCCTGTGCTGCTGCGCTGGTTCCTGCTGAGAGAACAGGACCAGTCGGTTGTGCATAGCTTTCAGGTCGCTGTCTACAAACAGCACAGGACGTTTTCTCCCGGGTCTCCGGCGTTTACTTTTTCGACCACTTTGCCTGTGCAGGATGGATGATGTGATTGCCCGCGGCGACACTACGAAAGCAAGAGTCTCCTTCGTGTGAACGTGTGAATACTAGTAACAAGGTGCATCGCTACTAGTAACAAGGACGCTTCTAGGGGCTCCTGGCATCGCTAATAGGAGCAAGAAGCTACTAGGGGGTCCCGGCCTTACTACTAGTAACAAGGACGCTATTAGTAACAAGGGCATCACTACTAGGATCAAGGACGCTACTCGTGAATCCATTAGCGAATCAAGAAGGCCCGAGTCGGTCCGTGGGTCCGTGCCTCTCATCGGTTGAGCTCTCGCTCGTGCCCGTGGATTCTGGCACATCTCCTGCGAACTCGAACGAAACAAAGACGGATGTTTCCAGCTGGTCGAGTAGCCAGCTTGCCTGCTTGCCCTGCCCGGCCCGCTCTTAGGCAGCTTAGGCGTAAGCCCTTAAATAGCAATGGCCTCCACCTAGTAGCGTCCTTGCTAGTAGCGATGCCCTTGCTACTAGTAGCGAGGGCCTCTAAACAGAGACGGACCTTTCGTCCAAAAACGAACCAAATCCGCGCGACCTTTTTTTCCATCGTCACCAGAGTTCGACCTGAGTTCTGCAGAATATGAGTTCTGTAGTTCTTGGATGAAACATGACATGCAAGGCACAGTTTTGAAGCTTGGCTCGAAGACCAGAGCTAGTAGCGTCCTTGCTCCTAGAAGCAAAAGAGTTGGCCCTTACAGACTAAAAAGATCCAAAAACCAGCGGGGAGCCTCCAATCCTTTATTACAATCCAGAGGTGTGATGAAATCCATTCGACAGCGCTCCAAAGTCCAGGCCATCGCTAGTAAGTTGGAGGCCATCACTATTAGTAACAAAGCAAAAAGAAAAGGAGGAAAGATCTATTATAGTTTGCTTCTAGGAGCAAGGACGCTACTAGGGGCTCCTGGCATCGCTACTAGGAGCGATCGGACGCTACTAGTTTGCTATTAGGTTGGAGGCCATCGCTTTGCGACCCAAAGGTCGATGAGCATCTGACGACCAGCCAAAGAAGCGTCGTGTCTGCAACAGGGCTGGCAAGGCATCCTGAAGCATGGACAAATGACAAAATTCCCGGGTGGAAAGAGGAAGAAACAGAAAACATAGATAAAAAGAGACGAAAATCTCCTCACAAGTAAAACCTGTTTTGTTTAGGTGATTAAAGATGTCTGGCCGGCCCTTTCTGACACCTCTGTCCTGCCGGAGCTGCCAGGTGGATCGCGCCTGCCTCATGTTTTTGCTCGTGCAAATGGAATCTGTTACTACTAGCGTGGCACTTGTTACTACTAGCTTCTTGTTACTACTAGTAAGGCACTTGTTACTACTAGCGTGGCACTTTGCATAAACAAGCAACTCAAAAGTTCATAAAGATCGTTTGCTGAACTGATCGATGAAGTCCTGTTTGGTCTAAGGGTTCCACAGGGATTGCGAACGCAAGGCCTTCACCTTATGGATCGGAGAAAAAGCTGTTTCAAGACTCAAGACGGATGATGTTTCCAGCTGATCGAGTACTAGCGATGGCCTCCAACCTAAGAGCAATGGCCTCCCAGCTTCACCATGTTTTTTTCAAGACTTCCAGGTGCAAATCTCCTCTCGCACATCACAACGCAGCTCTTTTTCGCCCATGAGCAAGGCAACCCAGAGCCGGGCACACAACGACTGCGTCACCGTCATAGATCCGTCGGAAGCAGAGAGCTAGGCAGAGCTAGGCAGAGCTAGGCAGAGCTGGGCAGAGCTAGGCAGAGCTAGGCAGAGCTAGGCAGAGCTCCAGAGTCGGAGAAGCAGGGCATGAAAAGCAAAGTGTGTGATGGAGTGGTGGATCCACAGCAGAGCATGTCTATCTTTCAAGTGGTGGAAGATCCTGGATCAAAACACATCCACGCTGCGTCACCAAACCCAAAGACTCCTTGGCAGCAGTTCCGAAACTTCGCTGCAACTGTTTCTTAAGCAGCACAGTTTTCTAGACTCCTTTTCACCCCCTTTTTCTCGAGAAAAGGAGTCGACTCTCCTTCAAGCCGAGACTCTGCTTGTTTCACGACCATCTCCGCATCAGCTCCGGGTTGCATGAAGACATACCTGAGGAGATCGACTCATGAGACTCTCCCCGCCTCTCTACGGATCTTCGTTTAATTTGCAGTTTGGCAATTAAGTTCACGCTACGACCCGATTAAGCTAGTTTCTAGTAACTGGACGCAGGATACTTCACGCTTCTTCAAGGAAGCTCCTCCCATCTGAGGGCTGGGGGGAGCTTCCTTGAAGAAGCGCTCGCACTAATGATTTGGCTCCGATAGGTTTTGGGAAACTTAACCTTTGGATCCTGCCTGATACCTTTCTTCTTCATCGTGCTGAGCACGTCCATACCAATCTTTGGGGAGATGATAAGGTTCACTGCGTCCACCTGCAGTTGAATCTTCGCAGTCAAGCTCCGCGGACAAGCAGTGACGTTTGGGGAGCAGTGACGTATGTACCACACCTGCTCTGGCACATCTTCCAGCTTCTCATAGCACTTTCCCGTCTTGTCGTAGGGACTCACTTTCATCACACGGCGCCCAGCCTCACAAGTGCTATCATGGCGGTCGAACGCGGTCGAGGAATTCATGTGTTTTGGTTCGTTTCATAAGCACATTTTCCGAAAAACACACATATGAGGAAATCCGCCCGGCTGAGGCGCTGTCTCGGGGCGCATACACTGCTAGAATTGCTAGATAGCACAATAGATTAAGCTTTAGCTTGCTTGGGTGTTCTAGAATGCTGTGGTTTTGAGGTTCTTAAAAACGGACGAAAAATCAGCATGCCATCGATGATGTCGGTTATTCTGCCCCAGTGGGACTGCATTATTGACATCCTGTGTGCTTGCCCCTGTAAAAGACCGACCGACCGACCGACCGAGACAGACAGACAAACAGACCAAGACAAACAAACGCACAGTATCCGTGCAGGCGGCTTCGACCGCGAAGCAGTGTGAATAACAAAACATGAAAGACATGAGGGTTTTTCTGAAGTTGTCGTGTCTGGAAAGTTGTGGCCGGCCCCACAGTGGAACCAAAGTCTCTTCTCGCATGCAACCAGCGTTGTGCGCATGCCCCATGTGCAACCTGCGTTGTGCGCATCTCCATGGCAACCCAAGCTGAAGCGAACTTCCAACATGAACGACAAGTCTTTAAGTTTTAGTCGTGCGTTGCCAACATAGCTGCCCTGAGAGCTTGAAAATAGCAACCTGGAACTGGAACAAAGCAAGCAAGCCCAAGAACAGATTGCAAAGCACCGCCAGTTGCGTTTGCAACTGTTCCTCGAAACACTTCTTTCACGGATTCATTTAGTCTAGGCTTGTTGGCGAACTGATGTTGCTCAGGAGGAGATGTCTCAAGCCAAGTTCTGACCTGGCCCTCTAGCACCTCAAACTCTTCGATCCCCTTCCCTTGCAAGGCGATTGATCGTGGCAGGGTTGGGTCAGGAATGCTCAATGGTTCAGCATTCGCAGGTGTTCAAAGAGCACAGTGGGCTTTGCTCCTTCACGGAGTCACTTGCGCCGGCAGCAAAGGACTCAGGCCATTTTTGGCCCAAAAACCATATATATATATAATATAGACCTTCCTCGCTCTCGGTCCTTTTTTTCAATTCTTCATTACTAGTAGCAAGGACACTAGTAGGTGGAGGCCATCGCAAGTAGGTTGGAGGCCATCGCTACTAGTAACAAGAAGCTACTAGATACTAGTAGCAAGAAGCTACTAGGAGCAAAGGACATCGCCACTAGGAGCGAGAATGCTACTAGGGGCTCCTGGCCGTACCACTAGGAGCAAGTAGCTACTAGTCACAAGAAGCTACTAGAAACAAATATCTTTGTTCCGTTCTTCCGTTGCTGTGCGCGACATGAAGAGATTGCCTCCTCAAGGCGGCGGACGACACGAGAGGCGGGCTTCGCTTCGTTGGTGCAGTCCCCCACGACGGCCCAGGTGGCGAGATCACGACCTCGTCTGACTTGCGGAGTCCGGGAGTAGTCCTCCTTTGTCCTACCTACTAGCGATGGCCTCCAACCGAATAGCAAAGGAGCCCAGTTGAGAGTCCAAATAGTCAAGAGTTGGGAGGAACATTCCGATCTTCAGTTCTTGCTACGAGACATGTTCTTGCTGCAAGAGGACTTAGCTACTACTAATACAAAGAAGAAAAATGGTAAGACTATGTAGAAGAAAATTGGTAAAGAAACAAACAGAAATGAAATGTAAGAAGATGTCACGACTGAGAAGGAAGATCTCATGTTGTGGGGAGTCAAGGAAGGGAGAACTCCTCAGGCCAACACCCAAGACAGGGCCGTACTGAAGACAGGACTCCCGGAGTACCTGTCTCAACAGGCAAAAATGAAAGCAACGGAAGAACGGAACAAAGATATTTGCCACTAGTTACTAGTAGCTTCTTGTTACTTGTAGCTACTTGCTCCTAGTAATATGGCCAGGAGCCCCTAGTAGCGTTCTTGCTCCTAGTAGCCATGGCTTCCAACCTACTTGCGTCCTTGCTACTAATAATGAAGCAAACACAAAACTTGAGAATTTGGAAGGGAACCAGAACAAGAGTGCATCCTTGAGGCTTGTTGAAAAAGAAACAAAGGCATGTGTTCAATTTCTCTAGCCAGAAAGAACCAGAGAAATTGGACGCGCCCGGTGCCTCCAAACGGTCAAAGAGCTGCTTGAGAAGCACGGTGGAGAGTCCCATGACGCTGTCCTGGTCGCCTGCGGTTTTGCATCTGCTCCTAGTAGCGTCCTTGCTCCTAGTAGTAAGGCCAGAAGCCCCGTTCGTCTCGTCCGATCGCTCCTAAGTGAGGTTTCGCATCGAAAAAGGATCCTCGAGGACGTTTGACGTCAGGACGTCTGGCTTGCGGCCTTCGATCCTTTCCACGTACTTCTGGATAGTGGGATGCTCAACCATCAAAGCTCCAGCACAATTGAGAAGGCTCTTGTCCGCTGCTAGTTGGTTTAGAACGTCCTGCTTAGGCCCAGGAAGGCAACCAAACAAGAGAACAAAAAGCAACAAAGGATGGTATTTGCAGCTCTTTGAGCTTCCAGGTCCTCATCACCGAGCTCTGCTTTGAAATGGATGGTTGCAAGCTGCGTGCCACTTACCCGCAGATCTGTTGCAGGGTCATGCAAACAAAGCCTGAGATGTCTCGGAAGAGAGCTCTTTTTCATGATCTCTTCAGAGCAGACAACTCCTGATATCTCCACAGCATACAGTGTGTAAAACACCAACTGCTGCCTGGTAGCGCTCCAACAGTGGAGCAACTTCCTCCGGCATAGGACAAGAGAAAGGTACGCGCCTGAGTGCGTCTGTTTCACCTTCAGTGTAGAGCTTTCTCATCCTCTTTGTCCATCCACACTCAAACCTTTCAGATCAGCAAGTGCCTCCTTTAAGTCTCCTGGCTTTTCGCGGATGGTTCCCTTGTACGTCACCACCTGACACAACAGGAAGAATATCTCAGAATTCCAAAGATGTTCAGACATGCCAATCGAGCTCACTCTGCCATTGCTCAGATAAACTAAACTCTAAGACCGACATGTTTAAATTGCTCAAGGATGAACGCAGTTGAACATGTTTGAGCGGGTGACTACAAACTACACCGGTTGAACTGTTGACCACAAAGAATGAACAAACCTCCAAACAGGAAGCCAAAGATCACAATCACAAGCACCATAAAGCTCTTCAACTACAAACACATGAAGTTCTTCAAATCTCCTCCAACTCAGCGACTACGCCTGGTCAGCAGTCAGAAGAAGTTGGCGCTTCTCACTGTGCTTCAAAGACGAGAGCAGAGCCTCAAGTGGAATCAATCAAGAAGAAACTGAATCGAAAATTCAAACCCTTGAAAATGAATCTGTTTCTTCCATGAAAAGACGACATGTTGCCAAAAACAATGCATTTTGAGCTAGGATACATCGGCCTTTGCTTGCGCTAGCAAATGTACCAGCTGTTCTGCATCTTTGGCTCTGTCTCCTAGGCTCCTTTCATCAATACCTGGTGCTCGCACTTGGAATGTCACACCTCAGAGTTCGCAGATGCGAAACGAGATGCCAGCAAGAAGCACTCAAGAAGTGCTTGGTTCTTCCAAGCTTTCACAAGATTGACATGGAAAAAAGGCACTTTGAAGAAGAAAAAACAAAGAACAAAGCACTTTGGAAAGAAAGGTCCAAAGAAGAAATGGCAAGAAAGGGCCCTCCCGCACCGCTGCCTGCAGCCTCAAGCAACTGTCGCCGCACCTCGCTTCCAGAGCCCAGCAGAAGTGGAGGCATAGAAAGCGGGACCACCACCGAGTGCCTGGCCGATGAGAGGTGGAACCGGAATGGCCAGCCCTGTTCGGAGCGTCCCTTTGCTCCGTTCGTAGCGATGCCCTTTGCTCCTAGTAGCTTCCTGTTCCTAGTAGTAAGGCCAGGAGCCCCTAGTAGCTTCTTGCTACTAGTAGCTTGACCGCTCTGTATGTGCAAGAATTGCACCAATTGTTTTCCTTGTGGACTTGCATTCGGAGCACGTGGCCAAGGATGTTCCCAAACTCAGGCCAGCACAAATCCGCAGCTTTGGCCATACCTCGCATTTGTGGTCTCTCAAATGAACATGGAACATGGCAGGACTCAAAAAGAAGCTGCCAAAGCACTTCGGCGGAAAGCTCCAAGCAGCCACACTGATCCACAGGCAAAGGCCAAAGGTCGTCCACTTGGGCCAATGTTGCCCTTGCTGGCCTTGCCAATTCATTTGCAAAAACTGCAGAATTGGACGACTTATGCAACGCAATGGAGACTGACAGACTAGTTCACTAGCAGCTGCGCAAACAAGCCCTATGGGGCTATCAGACTTCGCCCAAAAAGGGCAATACACAACAAAGGAAAGCAGGAGAACTTGGCATGTAACGAATGCAAAGCCGCCCTCCTTGCCTTACTACTAGAGCAAGGACGCTACTAGGGGCCCCTGGCATCGCTACTAGGAGCAAGGACGCTACTAGTAACAAGAAGCCACTAGGGGCCACTGACTCGCCACAGTGCCACCCTAATTCTTCACACCTGGTGCTTCTTCAGCGCCGGCAGCGGCCAAGGCAGCGGCAAAGGCGCATTGACAGGGGAGGAAAGGCTTAGCATAGAGTCGTAAATGAGTGCTGCTGGACACTTTACACACCACTCTATATCATGGCTTTTGAAAAAAGTGCATTTTGCGGAACAGTTGGCTTCATCTCAATATGGTGCTCAGCAAGTCTCTGCGCTTGTTCTTCAAGTAGCAATGGCCTCCAGCCTAGTAGCGATGGCCTCCACCTAATAGCGTCCCGGCTACTAGTAGCTTCTCGTTCCTAGTAGTAATGCCAGGAGCACTAGTAGCTTCCTTGCTCCTAGTAGCGATGCCCTTGTTCCTAGTAGTTTCTTGTTCCTACTAGCGATGGCCTCCACCTAGTAGCTCAGCAAGTCTCTGCGCTTCTTCTTCTTCTTCAATCATGGTCTGGGTCGCAAATGGCAACGGAGAAATCGCAGCTTGTTCCTGCTCGTTCACCGGATGCGTCACGCAGGCTGAGCCACCCGACCAGACCCAGACTGATGCGAGACATTTAAAACAGTTAAGGGAACGTCTGCTTTTCGGGGTCGTCTGAGTGCTGCTATGTGTCTGTCTGACCTGTCCATTCACTACGACTAAGTAACTAAGTTTCACAAGGGGAATCGATGCTGCCCAAAATATTCAAGCTTTGTGTGAAGTAAATCTGACGTCCCAACCACAACAATTTGAGCCGAAACCGCGGCAAGAGAATTACCCGAAAGTGTCGGCAATATGCAAAAACTCAAATCTGCCAACGGTTTCCTTGGTCTCAAACGTGTTTCAGATGCGGCAGCCCACCCCCGCTGCCTCAAATAGAGAAGAGAGCATCAGTCCATGGAGATGCCTTCTCGTCTCACTGGTCACGTGACAAGTCAATGACGTCCAGATTTGGTGAGATTCTAGAACGCACGCGCTCAGAGGTCATTCGAACCTCACACCAAAGTGTCTGACATACCCCCGGTATGACAAAGCTGTCGATAGATTGTTTATCCCTCCAGGGAGCACTTTCCAAAAACCTGCTGATACTGTTACTTGGTTGAGCGTTTCTTTTCAGAGTGAGCACATCAGCTCTGGCTCACACAGACCGCAGCGGTTTTTGCACAGGAAATCTCACGCACATGTTTGGATCTTTCTGCGTTTTCGCACTGCCAAGAGCAGACGAGACACCCTTTCGCACTTCTCAGCTTTGCTTTGGCTAGCACTGGCGACTGGGCATTCTCTAGATCAGTCCGCGCAACAGCTTACAAGGGCATGCAGTGGCCAAACCCAACCACTCACCTAAGCGGTTTGCAATCCAACCACCCACTGCGGTGGCTCAAATGGTGAACTTCACTCCGGTGGCTTCCTCGCTGGTGCGCCAGAGCATCTCCATCGCCTCTAACCATCATGGTTACCATCATGGAAGCCATTTTCCAAATGACTTGTGTCTTGGACTTGTTCATGATTTATATAGAGAACCAGAATTGAAATGAAAGTCTTAGTATTATCCATTTGCAACTTGTACCCCTGGTCGATCCTGGTCAAAAAGATTTTGGTGAGTCATCACCATCTTCGACCACGGGGTTGGCTTCATGCCCATCCAAAACCACCACAAGCGAGGCCTTCTGTTTCCGGCCGCTCTTAGGCAGGTCTCGCGCCTTGGGATCAGTCTCGTAGGGTTTCGGAGGGTTTGGCACTGCCAAGCCTTTCCTGAGCGCTTGTCCAAACCGCCCTTGGCGGTTGACCCAATCATGTTCATTGAGATTAAAGTATGACCTCTGTGTGTATGTGTAATAATCAAAGGAAGCTTAGTGTACGAAACTTCCGTGTTACGGACATTCAAGAACTGTTCATACACCACTCATCAATACACCACTCATCAATACACCACTCATCATACACCACTCATCATACACCACTCGTCATACACCACTCCTCATACACCACTCATCATACACCACTCATCAATACACCACTCATCATACACCCCTCATCAACACACCACTCATCATACACCACTCATCATACACCACTCATCATACACCGCTCATCATACACCACTCATCATACACCACTTATCATACACCACTCATCATACACCACTCATCATACACCACTCATCATACAACAC